TAGTTTAAGAGGGTTATGCAACCAGATTTTTTTTGTTTTTTTTATGTTTACCCCCCCTCCCCCCTTAAAAGATTTCAGTTTTTTTTTTTCAATTGAGTTGTACAGTTTATAGGTCACATTAAAGGTGGAAAAAGTTCTGAAATTGTTTATCTTTGTCTCATTTTTTTTACATCACAGTAACATTTTAAAAGGGGTGTGTAGACTTTTTATATCCACTATATATATTCCCTATGTTTACTTCTTCAATAAATATACATGTATGCATAATCTATACAGCTGTCTTACACAGTCCTTATCACCTGTTTGAGTATACTGTATGTTGTGATTGGGGTCAAGGTATATATACTGTAAGTCCACTCTAAAGCAGAACTTAAAGTAAGGTGTAACATGTAGGTGTTCTTGGCTCAGTTGTTACCAAGAACTCTCATCTCCAAGACTCCTCTGTGGGTCTTCCTCCTTTAGGTCCTCTTTTAGCTTCTACCTTAGTTTTTGTGTGTGCTTGATAGCAAGAAGGTTTCCTTTAGAAGTCCGAGGTCAGTCTGCTGATTCACTGGCATTAGCTCTTCTAGCACTTGGGAGAGGTTAAAATGCTCAGTGCAAGCCCTTCAGAAGAACCGATTTCTAACAATTCCATCTGTCACGTATTTAAAAAGTAACATTTTTTTTTCATCCATTACTTTCCTGTCACCATACCTAGTTAAAAAAACTATTTCTTAAGCCTTAAGCATTCATATTTGACCTTTACAATGTAGAAAGGCAGCATCACTTTACTCCTTCAAAACAGGTGAATTATATTTTAGAGAGAAGAGCAATTTTTCAGAAGTGGCATTTAAGCATTAGCCGTCCATAATATATGCAGCTTTATCTCAATGCTTCAAGGACCCCAAAGTTCAGAGTGTGAAACACATAGAGCCGTTTGTTTATCTGAACAGATGAGTACTTTGCTCTCACAGAGTTTTCTGAACTAAGTAAAATTGTTCCTATATTGTTCAGTTAGGACTTAAAACGTCACTAAACCCTCATCATAAAAAACTATCAATAATACTAATAAAATTATTTGAACAAGAAAAAACTATCAGTAAATGGTGTATTATATGCTGTTCCTGCTCACTCATTCACTATGGGATTTGTTTTTTGTATTCTGCAAAAAAAACAGGTTGATCCTGTTGTTCTCTATCTCCCCCTTCAGTCCAATGCAGTGGGGGATTTTGCAGAGCAATGTAGGAAGCTACTGCACATGCTCATTTTTCAGTGAGTTTCTGTGCTGAGCATTTCCTCCCATCACATCTGAGCAGCCCATGGGAATATAGAGTCACACATGTGGGTGTATACACAGTGATAAATGACAGCCCACTCCCTTTCTCCTCCTCCATGCCCACTAACCAGCTAAACACAATGGGGGGGGGGGATATTAGATCTTGATTGATGGAGGCTTCACCTCCCTGTTATTCTAAGATGCAGGCTGCAGGGGCGTGATACAGCCTGTGACTGGCAGACACTCACATCATGTTATTGCCAAAAATAATATAGATTTTATTTCAAATATATATTTGTATGACAATTTTCGAACAGTTTATTGACTTTAATTATTTATTTTTACTCTGTATCCCAAAGGCTGTTTTTTATTTTATTTTGAACGTGTGACCAGCAGCAGAGGACTAGAAGCTCCTCTTTCCACTGTTTTCCTGCAGACAGGCTGGGAAAGAGCTGGGTCATGTGACAGCTGTGTATGGATTAGGAAAAAGGTACTTAGATTTTTTTTTATTAAAATAATTACAGATGCATCATCCATTTACAGAAAGAAAATGAATAATGTAAATTAAACAGTGTGTGTTTAGTATCACTTTAATTTAAATTATTTTACCATGTTACCATTCCTGAAATGGCCAAAGCCTTCAAATTAACATAAATGTAAATGTACCATCATTAACATTCCAGACACAGTGCAGAAGTATTCAGTTCTCCAGTAAGGGTTTTCTTTGTTATGTGTGCACACATTAAGTATGGAATTCCAACTGAGCTGCTAAAAAAAAAGAGCTTTCTGATTTTGTTACAGACAAAGTGTAATGGAAGTCACATGACAGTTTCAGTGTCAAGTGAGTGATAAAAAGGAAAATACAGATTCACACGTGGGTGAGATTTGGACTCTGGGCACCAGATGCCAAGTCTTGTTGACTTCTACGCCAATTTTTTTCTACAGTTTTGATTTTAGAGTGCTCTGTAATAACATTGAAAGCTTCCCATTCTCCATGTACTGGTAATTAAACATAACTGGTAAAAAAAAGTAATAAAAAGACATATTTGGCATTTAAACAAAAATGGTGAAATCCAGAGAGGCACTCTATATATAACATTAAATGAAGAACGCATTTGGCAAGCTGTACAGAATGTTACCGTTTGTTTTACCTAAGGCAAAGATGGATAAAAGTGTACTAAGCAATCCTAACAATTGTCTAAATATACTAAACTGAAATCTGAAGCTTAAAGTGATATTAAACCTAAATTTTTAATAATGTCCATAATAGCTGACCTGGGCGTTTACCTGGTCTGCTCCTTCTTCTTCTTCTTTAAAAGTGCTCCTGTATGCCTGGTTCATACTAGCGTGATTTGAGATGCAGCTTGATTCGCACAGAATTGCATGACAAGGGAAATCACATGGTTTTCAGTGTTGTCTGTTCACATCAATGTGACTCAGCACAGAGCAATTTTGGAAAAGGTTCCTGTACTATTTTGGTATGATTTCCAGTGGTCCGTAGAATACACAAACCTTATCAGAATTGCATCCAAGTTGAACTAGATAATCGCACTAAAGGCCGGATCAAAATCATATCACAGCCATGTGAACCTAGCATTCTGCTTGATTTGCCAGTCCAGATATCACTCCATTATTTGGCGGTGTCCCATGGAGTCTCATTGTGCACACTCTTATCAAACATAGGAAGCCAGAACAGAGTGCACGATGGTGCTTGGCAGTCCCAAGGAATATAAATGATGTGGTGAGCGCTTCTTGTATAATAGTAAGCTAAGCAGCTAATAGCACTAAAGGAGAACAGCCTTAAGTAAAAATAAATATATAAAGTGCAGCGCTAAAAATAGCACACAAAAAGTTCGATCTAAAAAATTCGATCTGAGACGTTCGATCTAAAGTTGGTAATCAAATGTTCATTAAATCATCAATGTAATAAATTGGACACAGCTATGAAGAATCCGGAACAAATGGCAGAAATGCGCACTCACCGACCGCGCATAGGAAATGCACGTATGTGTATAAAATTCCACAGAATGTCGATCTCCCTCAGGAAGGAGTGTTACCAAGCGATGGTCAGCTGGGCTCACAGAACCTCCTAAGGATCGGAATGGGTCGGCCGGATAAAAAGGCTCCAGATAAAGGCTTCCCTCTTCTGGATAAAGTTGGGAGCTGTGTCTGCTGACCCCTCAATAAGGGGCAAAGAGTAGGAGAGTACCCATAGTGTAGTATTTCTTAAAGAACTTTATTGGTAACAGACTTAGTGCAGGGTAAATCAGTAGTAGTGCTGGCAAGTGCCCAAACATAAATCCACATAATAAAAACACAAATTACTGACCCTGGATGAGATGGCCGCTAGACCTCCTCGTGGTCTAGGCGGCAATAAGGCGATCACGAAGTGGTCTAGTTGTGCGCCCCACATACTGTTTATGGCATGGGCATTGAAGGAGATACACCACAAATTTACTATTACATGAAATGAACCGATTAATTGTGTATGATTTCCCAGTTGTAAACGATTCAAAGGTGTTAGTCCTACATTTCCTCGTGCCATAATATTTACCAATGACATACTTGTTGCATGGGTAAAACCCTTTTAGCTCGTCAAAGAATGTAGTGCCAGTCAGGGGATTCACTACATTCGGTGCTATTTGATGCCGAATTGCTGTCGCTTTCCGGAAAATGATCTCTGGTTTTTCTGGCCAGGAAGATCGCTGTGTATAATTATATCTCAGCCATCATTTTCCTTGGCAGAAAATTGTTGTCTCAAAATGCCTTTTATTGGTGTTTTTTGACAGGGACAATTATTGCACATTTAAACTGTCCCTGCTTTTTAATGTTTTAATATAATATTTTCTGCTTTACTTTAATTAATCTATATATTTGAGGATCCGGAGCACCTTTTTTACGCTGTGGGTATAGTAGTTCATCCCCTTATTTGTCACCAATTTTTGGTGCGGCATTCTTTAGGAAGTGGCTTGCGGATATCCTATTTTGATGTTAATCAGGATTTTTAGATCTATCACCTCCCCCCGGGACTGAGAGCCACTGTATTTGGCTCAGATGCACCGCTCTGTGTGCTCTGCCAGAGTTATGTAATGCATTCCAGCTGACAGTTCAATATACCCACAGCAAAATGGCGCTTAGCGCAGTTGCCCGGTCTCTCCGAAAATGGCGGCGAGTCAGTGCGCATGCGCGACTCCCGTTTTTCACTATTTTAAGATTCGGCGTCTGTCACAGAGCTGTCAGTCTCCCCTCTGATGATGTGCCTTAGCACGAAAGGCCTCAGGAGGAACTGACAGCCTGTGACGCCTTTTTGCCACCTAGACCACGAGGAGGTCTGGCGGCCATCTCATCCAGGGTCAGTAATTTGTGTTTTTATTATGTGGATTTATGTTTGGGCACTTGCCAGCACTACTACTGATTTACCCTGCACTAAGTCTGTTACCAATAAAGTTCTTTAAGAAATACTACATTCTGTGGAATTTTATACACATATGTGCATTTCCTATGCGCGGTCGGTGAGTGCGCATTTCTGCCATTTGTTCCGGATTCTTCATAGCTGTGTCCAATTTATTACATTGATGATTTAATGAACATTTGATTACCAACTTTAGATCGAACTTCTCAGATCGAATTTTTTAGATCAAACTTTTTGTGTGTTATTTTTAGCGCTGGACTTTATATATTTATTAGTCCCAAGGAATGTGTACGACACTTTAATTGCGTGGTCCCCGACTAGAAGTTTAACCACTTCCCGTCCGGCCGTTGTATATAAACAGCCGGACAGTGGCAGTTCAGGGCAGGTCACCGTTCATAAATGGCGCCCGCCATTTTGGACTGTGTGCGCTCCCTAGGAGTGCGCGGCACCGCAATCTGGTGCCCGCTGTGTCCGGAGGACACAGCAGAGCACAGATCGCTGAACGGGACCTCTGTGTGAGGTCCCAATCATGTAATCAGTGATTGGCCAATCAGTGATCACATGAATAAGTGTAAGCAAGATGTCACTTCTGACATCATTGCTTACTACGTGTGAAATCTGTGAATGATCAAAGAGATCACATGGTGCAAGGATATTGACAACAGCCTTGTACCATGTGACAAGTTGTGACTAATCCCAGCTCACACAGTATTTCTCAATGGCTGCAAGGATGCAGCCAGAGAGAAGGAGAAATGGTTGCTTTTACAGCCTTTATGGGTGTAAAAGCAGTCAGTGTAAAAAAAAAAAAAGCTTCATCACATCCCACAAGTAGTACAGTGTCACTATGCTACTACTACTGCTAGGGTGACAGTATGTTAAAAAAATAAATAAAATAAAAAACGTAAAAACAATTTTTGGAAAAATTATAATTTTTGGTTATAAACCAATTTAGGTTACTTTTTTTACTAAAAAGATAACTGAATAAATTTTGGCCAAGATTGATGAAGAAAGATTATTTATTTGCAAAATTTTATAAGAAAAACACTTATTTTCAAAATTTGTGGACTTTTTCATATATATAGCAAAGAAAAAAAATCCCAGTGGTGAATAAATACCACCAAAATAAAGTTTTATCTGTCGAAAAAAAATGCTAAAAAATTCATATGGGTACAGTGTTGCATGACCGAGCAATTGTCATTCAAAGTGTGACAGCACTGAAAGCTGAAAATTAGCCTGGACAGGAAGGACATGAAGTGGTTAACCACTTCCCGACCGGCCGTTGCATATAAACGGCCGGACAATGGCACTGCAGGGTCGGGTGGCCGTTTATAAACGGCCTCCCCGCACCCTGCTTGTGCGCGCTTCCTGGGAGCGCGCAGCACCGCAATCCGGTGCCCGCTGTGTCCTCCGGACACAGTGAAACACCGATCGTCGGACGGGACCTCTGTACGAGGTCCCGATCATGTGATCACTGATTGGCCAATCAGTGATCACATGCAAAGTAGTAAGCAAGATGTCACTTCTGACATCATTGCTTACTACGTGTGAAATCTGTGAATGATCACAGAGGTCACATGGTACAAGGCTATTCACAACAGCCTTTTACCATGTGACAAGCTGTGACCAATCACAGCTCACTCAGTACTTCTCAATGAGTGCAAGAATGCACACAGAGAGAAAGAGAAATGATTGCTTTTACATCCTATATGGGTGTAAAAGCAATCAGTGTAAAAAAAAAAAAACAAATCTTCATCACCCCCCACAAGTAGTACAGTGTCGCCATGGTGACACTGTACTGCTAGGGTGACAGTATGTTAAAAAATAAAAAATTAAAAAAAATAATAATATAAAAAAAATATAATAAAAATGTAAAAAAAAAATGTTTAAAAATTATAATTTTTGGTTATAAACTAATTTGGATTTTTTTTTTTACTAAAAAGATAACAGAATAAATTTTGGCTAAGATTTATGATGAAATATTATTTATTTGCAAAATTTTATAAGAAAAACCTCGGTCCAGCGGTGTCTTCACCACCGCTGGTTTCACCGGCCGACTTCTGATCCTGGCGCTGGCATCTTCTATTAGATTCCTGTTTGGGGTCCTTCTTCAGATATCTACGTCACTCATAGGACTGCCTATTGGATGGCTGGCAGCAGGCTTCTCTCAGGAGAGATAAGAAGAAATTGCCAAAAAGAAATTGCCAAAAAACGCAATGGAAAATGCAAGGAATCATTGGAAATCTTCACAAGTTTCAAAAAAATCTTCAGAAAACGCGGTGAAATTGCAAACAACGTGATTTTAAATCACATCCAGTGTGAACCAAGCCTTAGCCCTTGTTCACATCTGTGTGGTCATGCGGGCTGCAATTTCCACAGGCACGAGAGCCCATTCATTCGAATGGACTCCCGTGCCTCGGGACACGCAGGGAAGAAGTTCCTGCACTACTTCGGAAATGGCAGCCCGACACAGGAACTGAGGTTCCCAGTACGGGTTGCGATTTCCAATGCGGGCGGCATTCCTGTGTGGGTGGTGCGGCTTCACAGGCATTTGTGCGGGTCCTCCACTGTGCATGCCATGAAAAGTGCTGTGCTTTGTGATGATGGTACAGCCCAATGGTCTTCTAAAGCGGGACCTGTCACGTAGTCCCAGCCACTTACCTGTCCCTCGGTCCAGCGGTGTCTTCACCACCGGGGGCCGACTTCTCATCCTGGGCCGGATCTTCTATTAGATTCCTGTTTGGGGTCCTTCTCAGATATCTACGTCACTCATAGGACTGCCTATTGGATGGCTGGCAGCAAGCTCCTCTTTCAGGAGAGGTGATCGCACAGGAGACGGGTGAACCAGTGGTTTCCCCACTCCCCAAAGGTGCTAATCCTTAATGGGTGGAGCTGGGTGGACAAAGGCTTAAAGCAGAACTTCCAAACCTTTTGCCTGGGATTGGAGCTGCAGTGCGTTTTTTCGTTTGTAGGAATCACAAATCCAGCTTAGGAATTACGTTCGTGTTGCGATTTAGATGAGTACCGGTCCCTTAGCCCACCATCAGGTGCAAATTTTAAATCAAAAAATACCTGAAAATCTAATGAATGTGATGTGTAGTGTTTTTATTATTAACGTGCAATTTTGCTCCGCTTTTTCTGCAGTTTGTTGCGATATCACATTAGACTACAATAAAAATTGCTGCAAAACACAAGTGTGTCTAAAATTATGTGATTTGTGAAAATTTTGTTGAGACCCTTTCCTCTTATCCTGCTGTCTCTGCTTGTGTTCAAGCCTGACCATCACATGTGTTCCTCCCTGTGTACAGCCCCACCCCACATCCCCTGATGTCTCCTCTGTCATTTGCGAACAAATCTTCAAGAAAACGCGGTATTGCAAACCAAAGTTTTTAAATATTGTGTGTTGCTAACCAGAGCCCATTTCATTTGAGCCTCTGGGGGGGGGGGGTGGGCATGCTTCATGTGCGCTCGGGACACGCAGGAAGAAGTCCCTCCACTATTTCGGAAATGGCAGCCCGTACAACTGAGGTTCCCAGTACGGTTGTGATTTCCAAGCATGTCATTAGACATGGGTCCCGCATTCCACGTGGTACAATTTTGTGCGGGTCCTATTACCTGATGCAGGTTGTGGGGGGTGTTCAAACCTGCTTGAGCAGTGATTAAAATAAATAGAAAAAGGTTCATGTATCTTGTTTGATCAATGAAAGCGATTCCACCTAAAAATAATAAAATTAAAAGTCAGCAGTACCTGTCTGTTCAAATACAGCCACTTACTGTCCCTCGGTCCAGCGGTGTCCTCACCACTGCTGGTTTCAGCGTCTCATCCTGACGCCTGCATCTTCAGTGTGGGCACCCAGCTGTGACAGCTTTCAGCTTCACAGATTGTGGTGTCCACTGTGCATGCATGAAAAGTGCTGTGCTTTGTGAATGGCCCCATGGTCTTCTGGGACCTGTCACGTGTCCCAGAAGATACGGGGGGTGGGGGGGAGGAACCTCAGTCTATTAGCGTACCTGTACTTAACTCTTGCTAATCCTTAATGGGGAGCGGTGGACAAAGGCTTAAAGCAGAACTTCCCCTTTTGGGTGGAGCTCCGCTTTAAATTTGATTAACAATCAGGTGTTTAAATATTATTTAAGGATCTGTTGAGATTTCTGCTATGTGGGAATGTGTGCGTTCCTGCATCACGCGAGATTGCAAGTTATATTGTGTGTTGCTATACCATTATTCCTTAATGGTACCGCACCTAACCATCATATAGCACCACAACACGTGGTAACCTATTACCATGCATTGTGGTGTGACATGATTAAAATAAAAAAAAGGTCATGTACTTGTTTGGTGCGATTTAGATGCAGTAGACAGCCTGTTCAAATAAGTAGGCTTCCCTATCCCAATGCACCACAACGTACGTAAGATTGTGGAGCAATGCACATGTGCCGGAGCGTCTCACAGATGTGAACCCAGTCTATTAGTTTATTTAGTTAACTCTTGTTTTATTTTCCGTAATTTTCTGGCTAATGCTAAATAATAAAAAGATATTTTAATTTGGATCTTCTGCACACAATGGACACATTGTGGCTCAGCGTAGTGTTTTCTGTAGGGAGAGATGCCTTGTCTTACTCCTTGCCTACTGGAGCAGATACAACCCGTGGGGTTCATCCGAGCATAATGCCTGTCAGTAATCATCCTGAAACATACATATATTTTGACAGGTCCGCAGTAATGTTGCTTTGCCTTTTTAGCAAATCTAATTTATTTTTTTGTCACTGAGAAATAAGGAAAAAATGTATGCAGGGCAGAATTGTCATAATGTTATTGTTGGGGAATCTCGATTCATTGCACCATATTGTTAGACACAGTTTTGCACAATGTAACATTAATCAGAATTCTCTGAGACAGAATACCATTTTGGTCTGTTCAGCCACTGCATGGCACATACATAGGGAGTTCATTGAAGTGTGACACATTAAAACTGCAATTCACACTGCTGATTTCATTTTGTTTAGGCATGTACATGGCTTTTCCAGGATTAGCTGCCATCTCTATTTGGATTTAAGCAAATGTTAACATTTTTATTGCTGAAGCGCAATATACTGTATATGTCAGATTTGTTTTTCCAACCAGTATTCTTAAAAGTTCATCCTATTAAATAGCCTTGACAATAGGCTCAGTTCACAAATCTAACACACCAGGAGAGATATTTGATTTTAAAAAAAGGGACCAATGGAATCTGAAAATAACAGTCATATGGCTAAAATAAAGATTCTCATCCTTGTTTTAAAGCTGAACTCCAGGAATGAAAACTTTTAAATATGTTCAATAGCCACAAAGGATATAAAGCCTTCTCGTGCACATCAAATGGCTTTGCAAGCCCAGATATTCCCTTGTAAAGGTTTCAGGGACATCATCACTGTGATGTGCATAGACTGTGCAAAGAGCAGAATTATGGGAAGGACCCAGCAGACCCACTGCAGACTGCCTTCAGAAAATTACAGGAGGGGGCAGAGACAAGACCGGTCACACTGTGCAAGGAGAGATAGCAGCAGTAACTGGTCTTTATTACAGGAAGCTCCTGCACAGAGGAAACATTTCTCACAGGATTACTGCATAGATCTGGAAGAAATACGTCACGCGCACCAAGATTAAATTATAAATACATGACTCTTTTATTTAGACATTATTTTCTTACTGCATACTGGAGGCTAAGTTCACCTTTTCAACTAGCCAATGCAGTTCAGCACTGACGTCTCCCTGTACACCAACTTAAAGAGGAGTTCTAGCCCCCTCCCAAATATTAAAAGTCAGCAACTACAAATACTTTAGCTGCTGACTTTTAATATTAGGGCACTTACCTGTGTAGGGATTCAGCAGTGTCCTCAACCAGAGCCGATTCTTCAATCAGCTGTAGGGTGCTGGAGCCGCCATCTTGACTAACGGAAACTGACAGTGAAGCTTTGCGGCTTAACAGCTAGTTTCCTACTGCGCATGCATGAATCTTGTTGCGTCGTGTGAATGGGCCACAGTGCTCTTGGAGCTGTAAAATGTCCCAGAAGGCTGCAGGGGGAAGGAGGGGAGGCTGAACTAAGGTGGAAGTGGCAAACTAAGTCAGAAGTGGGAGCTGGTACCTGTCAAAACCAGGTACCCGCTCCCCCTTCTCCCCCAAAAGGTACCAAATGTGGCAGCGGAGGCGGGGAGAGGAGGAGGCAGATAAGTGGAGCTTTCACTTTTGGGTGCTACTCAACTCTAAGTCTTAATTACTGTCAGTTTGCTTATCTGCAAAGTGGTGGAAATTCTTTTAGAATCTGTAGCAATTATATTGTCAGATTCTTAACCTGTTGTTACTTGTGTAACAGATAAGTACAGTGGCTTTAATGCCCACACTCCACACATGTGAGTCGTTAGGTGGCCAATGTTTCTGTGCTAAAAGGGTGCACACTGCCTGCTGACAGCACAGAGACCGAGCTGACAAAGACAGCTCTCTGCCTGGAGTAATGATTGGCATCTCCCAATCCAATGACCTCTGTGACAGCTAGTCGGAATGGTCACACGATTACCAATCCTTCCCCCCAGGCTTTCAGAA